CACCTGGAAGTCGCAGGTTCTCACAGTTTCTTTGCATCTCTCCCTCTCTCTCTGTCTTTCTGTGTCTGTCTCTGTGTGTGTCCCTGTGTCTATCTCTGTCTCTTTTTCTCCCTCTCCCTCTCCCTCTCCCTCTCCCTCTCCCTCTCTCGCCGAAAAGATTACGGCATAGTTTGGGTCGCTCCGAAGGGTCTCAGGAGACCCTGTCTCCTCGCAGCTGCCGTTGGCTCTTTCCAGCTCCACAGATCCGCCGCCACCCGTCCCGGTGTCTGCTGAGACCTGCCAGACAGCCAAAGCCCGTCCGTTTGGGTGCGTGGCCCAGCACGGAGGCGGAAATGGTCTCACGGTTATATTCAGTTTTGCTCCGTCCGGTGAGAAAATCAATCTTGCTGTGGTGGTCGCGTTCGCTCAAGGTGGCTGACACCGATGCTGCTGCGCTCATAACTCCTACGGTGGCGTGCCCGCACAGTCTTGTTCACGAATCCTGTGCTCTGGCACCGCCTTGGGCTGCCGCTGCTTCATCGTCATTTCCCGGTGTTCCGCCCGTCTCGGGTCCATCTTCTGCCAAACTTTCTATATGGCTGAGGTGCAGACGCTGCGCAAGGATTTCCTTGCTAGGTACCCGGCCAAACTCCTCACGCCCTCCAACACCCCGTCCGTGGATTTTCCCTCCTGGTCAACAATTCACCTCCGAGTGTGACCACCTGCAGTGGGAGCAAACTCGTCGCACGGTCCGACCGCCAGCTTCCGCGCTCCCTCCCGGAAGTTTCGGACGACCTAACATGCCCGCATACCTTCAACGAGGCGGTTCTGCATCCCTGGTTGCTGTTTGGACATTTTGTGACAGCTCTTGCCGCGCTTGGTTTGGTCCACCTCTCTACTATCAAGAGGCTTTTACGACAAGTTTGTCACCATTCTTGCACGTGCCCTCCGATACTTCTCTCCGCCCACTCTTCATGAAACGGTGCAAGCTGATCGGGCGGTCTGGGTTTCCGTTTCCCAACTGGCCCGTGAGCGGGCCTGGAGCCTCACTGACAGTTTGAATGAGTTGGGGTCTCTGGGCACGAGATGGTTCCGCTGCTGCAAGCCCACCGGCCCCGCAGCGTCAGGAGAAGAAGAACGGGCACTGCCGCTCCGAGTCTCCCGTCCGGTGAAGGGAAGGCGAGTGCAAAGTCCGCTCCCAGCGGCTCCGTTCCTAAGGTTTCGTTCTGTCCTGGTTCTGCAAGATTGGCGGCAAGGAGGCTTGCGTGAAATTTGCCTTATAAGTATGCACCAATCAGCAGAAATACTTTCACGGGTGCTCTGTGCCCCTGCCGTCGGGCAAGCCCTGCGGTCAACCTCACACTGCTGCCGAGCTCGCGGCTTGACTTTCTTCTGGCTCCGGCGGTCAACTGGTCTTGCCCCGGCATCTCTGTCTCCACCACCACCAGCGCCCGTGCAACCCGCGTCTCGCTCTTCACCAGACCAACCCAATCGTATTCCACCCGCTCGCCTTTTCCTGGACTTGTGTGCGGGCGCCGACGCCTCCAGAAACGGTGTTTCCGTCGACCGTCTCTCCGAGGTATATTCTTGGCGGACCTCCGGTCATGCTTGCACGTGGACTCCGATGACACGTGGTCAGCATTGCTGTCTGTCCATGAAGGCCAACCCTTCCGACTTAATTTATCTTTGTGCCGGCCCCAACTCGGATCACTTCCATCTGCTGCGTGAAGGTGTGCCTTTGGGCATCGGCTGCCCTGTTCCGCCGTGTACTGTTATGCATGTTATGCACCTTCCGGTGCACCCTCCGGTCACTCCGTCCGGCTGCCACTTCAGCGCTGCGAGTGTGCGGGGCGCTCCGCCATAGACAACGCCGAGGTGGTCGACGAGCTCTTGCAGGCGGAGCTGGAAGCCGGTTGGATTATCCGAGGTTGAAGGCGGTGATCAGGACCTATTAGCAAGCTAGGGGTCGTTATGGCCCCAGGCCGTCCGCCCTGCTTGGTCGTTGACTCTTCCGTCTCCGGCGTCACATCCAATACCCACTCTCCCAATCGGTCATCCAATCTGTCCCCCATGGACGTCTGTCGATGTGTCCCATAATCCGACTCGTCTGATCAGCTCGTCGCAGTGGTGTTGGACGTCGCCAAAGCACACCATCGGGTCCTCATCCGTCCTTCTGACCACGGTTTGCTGCTTCAGACACCGTGGCCGTCTGCACCAGTGTGTCACGCTTAACTTCGGCACCCGCGTATCCAGCTTCTATTGGGTGCGAGCCGCTGGACTGCTGCTTCGCCTATTGAAGCGCCTTGGCCGTGTCCGCCATTCCGGTCTCAGCTACGGTGACAACCTTGTCTCGATACTTAACCGCTTGTCCGCCACGCTTTGGGCTTCCGTGATCGTCGTTCTTCTGACTTGCCTAAAGGTTCCGATGAGCTGGCGCAAGGGCTCTCTGGGCCCGGCGGTGGTTTGTTTGGATCGGCTGGTAGAGTGACTCGTTTGATCACGTTGCCCAAGTCGCTTCTTGATAGCACAGACTGTCCGGTCCGCGACTTAGAACGTCTTAGGGAAGCTACTCTGGCTTTCTTCCCTTTTCCGGTGTTTCCGGCCGTCGCCTGCGCCTTTATACTCGGACCAGCAGGCCTTCACGCTCACAGCTGTCTCTCCGGACCTCTGGCAGCGTCTCTGTGACGGTGTTGATGTGAACCTGGTGCTCACTCGGTCCGTTGGTGTCGCCGCTCTTCCGCCCGGTTCTCGTCTGTTGCGAGCTGGGCAGAATGCTGTCTCTTCCAAAGCAGACTTGCTCCGGCTGATCCCTGTGTCCCGTCGCATCTGGGTCCAGTCCTGCTCGCCTTCGCGCGCCTCCTGCAGACTTTCTGACCCATCTCGCAAAGTTATTCGCATGCAACTGGATTTGGTCACCTCTGGTTCCGACCTGCCGTCCTTGATACTGCCTCCCAAATTTGAGTTCACCGCGTTCGCAGATGCATGCGCCGACTCCGAGTCTGTGGGCGTGGGTGGTTTCGTCCGTTTGCAGGAGTCCTGGCAGCTGTTCTTCCTCTTCAGCTGATGCTGCATCAGCTTCTCGGTGCGGGACATTTGCCGGTCCAGGTGGTTTTTCGGCCTGACAACTCCGCATCGGAATCTGCTTCGTGGAAGGGGCCAAGGGTCTCTGCACTGCTCCGTGCCTTCTGCATGGCCGAGGTTTCTTTCTTCGTACTTTTAGGGACATGGACTAGTCCGACCGAACCCAGTACCCACAACTGGCGACCGAACAACGACAACAGCTCGACGCCGAAGCCGAAACCCAGCATTCCACCTTCGTAAACTGAAGGACAGCCCCCTCATTCGAATGCCCAGCATGCTGAGCCACTTCGTTGAGTGATTTACCTAGCAAACAACACATCGCCACAACGCACAATCCTTCCACACCCACACTACACACCTTTCGGACACCATCAACATGTCACAAGTCTTGTTACCTGAAGCCGAGACAATTTCCCGCTACACCCACGAGATCGCACTATGGCTGCTGGGAACAAACAAGGCCACCACGCGCGTGCGTGACACCATCATTGATGCAAAGCTGTCGCCACGGTGGTGGTGTGCTTGCCACAGTCGCCACTTGCTCGTCACGATACGCCGGTAGTGATACAGTTCAATATTCCCGCTGGACACCTTGATGCCCAAGAGCACACCTTCCTTCAACATTTCCAGAGCAAGCTCAACTATCCTTTGCCCCACACATGAAGAAGGCGTTTCGCGGCATTCGACAGCCTTCATCATGAAAGTTTCCAGCCCGATTCGTCGCACGGTCCATCGGGGCAAAAACACGACGCCAACATTTACCAAAACGGATGCAACCCATTCGCCAATCCCCAACGTTCAACAGCGAAACGGAGGTTTGGGATGCCACCGATTCGCCTCCAACGCACGACATAGATTTGAAGAAATACCCCGGAAGCGCAGCTGTATGCACTGCACTGCCTCACCGGCAGCATGCCTCCCTCCCCTCTTTGAGATACCATTATCTTGGATACTACAACATATCTGTTTTCGACCTACCTGAACGGTCAATAAGAGTGTGTGTGTGTGTGTTGGGGTGTGTGTGTGTGTGCGCATGTCTGTGTTTGTGTCATGTCTCATCAGAAGTCTGATTTGCTCGGGAGCTCCGCCAGGGGCTGGAAGAAGCTTTTCAGCGCTTGCGAACCGGTAAGGACTGCTGCGGCACACCGTGCGATCATGCGCGATCCATGGCCTTCTGCGTTCACCTGCGGAATTTTCTGTCAAGCAGTGACAGGAGCTTCCTCCTCTGCTTGTTCCCGTGAACAGGTTCGCAACAGTTTCGATTGTGTCCAGCTGAGCATCTTTGCTGCCAGGGGTAAGGATGATGTTCGCTTTGAGGCCAGGCGGAAGCAAAGAAGTACTTCTGCGATGATCCGCTATGTGTTGTGTTTGTTTATTGGGTATGACGAACATTGGTGATGAGAAGTTGAGGCTCTGCTGCCGGAGAATGCCGACGAAGATTCGGGAGCAAGCCTGAACTGTTTGTGTTCAAGGAGGATGTGCGGAGCCAGCCATCGCTGTTGCAGCTCGACTAAGGTGCCATTTCATCAATGCTCTTTGGAAAAACGTCCAAACGTCAACCTGTGGTTTAGCGCTCAGAACATTTCAGCACCGATCTGTGTGCGAGTGAGCAAATCGCAAGCGTCCATCGGCATTCCATTGTTCCGGTACTCACCGCCTGCGACCAGTCTGCGCAACCACGTTCAACCGGCCTCGTCATCTCAGGATGGCAACCTACGCGCATCAGACAGCAAGGTTGATGCTTCTTCAATGGAACAGGCATCTCCGCCCTTGTTCGGTGATTTAGCCTTGCAAGTAGCAGATAGCAGCAGATGACAAATGTCCGGAAGAGTTCGACAGGGCGATCACCCCGCGCAATCAGGTGCAGCGATGTTTTCCTGCGCTGTTGCATTGGGACTGTGCTGGGGGAAAGTGCTCAGGCGACGAGCTGCAGTTCACTGCGATTCAGGAAGCTGTTGAAAGAAGTGGATCTCAAAGGGAAGCAGTACAGGTGTGGCGCGGGTGTCTCGTCGCAGTGGTTTGACTGAGCACGACAGGGTTTGTGGAAGTCGGCTTCAGGTACCATGCCTTTGCTGGGGAAGATGATCGGCAGGAGGACTTGCAAGATTTTGCAATTCTGCAGCAGGTTAGTAAACCCGGTATGAAGACATCATCGCTCAGGACGATGAGGAACAGCTGCCGCAGCACGTGGAGCCCACAACTTAAAGTTTTGACAGGATGGTGCAATTGCCACTGGCAGGGAGGCAGTGCCCACGAACACAGGTGCCTGACCTTTGTGGTTCATGGCATTGGGCAGTACCATCGTGCACAACAAGGTGCAAATTCTCAGTTCTTCAAGGCGGACCTGGCGGATTTGCTGTGCCTCCCCCTCCCCTTCTGCGTCGCAGGAAGTGGCACGGGTGCGCAAGCTTGCAGCGAAGTACCAGGTCGAAAGAGCTAAAGAACAGGCGTGCTATGCAGAATTTGATGCTTTGCAAGATTCTCAGGGCAAGGTCCACCTGCCCTGCATGCGCAGGCTCGCCAGGGGCGCATCGAATTCCTTCCGTTGGAGTGGTTTCTTGGATCTTATCAGAGCTTGGTTGTCTCGAAGACGTTTCTACTGTCCCGCAGGTATGGTCCCATACATGTCGAGGTTGGAATAGGCGACCTGACATTTGATGGATTGCATGGTCAGGGTCAAACCTTCACTGCAAGCCACGAGGCAACAGGCTGAAGAATGTCACTCTAAAGTCGGCGGGAGGCTCAGATGTTATGTCCATGACAGTTTCAAAAAGAGTACTGATTGTGCCCAGGTGAGCCATCTTCGCGACTTTGCCAACTTCGCCTTGGCGGATGTGATGGTGTATTTGGACCGGAGAACTTTCAGATTCAGAAGACAGAAGTTCTGGAAGTCACTCCGGACAAGGATGAGCAGTGGCGCGAGCGCATCCATGACGAGCTGCTGAAGAAGATGGCGAGGCCCTAGGCACTTGTGTTCGTTCTTTTGCATCGTTGGGACTGAGCCGAGGGGTGGTTTTGCTAAGGGTCAGCTCTGGAAGCTGTTTTCTGCCCGGACTCCAAACTATTCCGGAGAGGCCCCTTCCGTTCAAAGTACATTCAATTGCAACTTTCGCAATGCATCACGAGTTCTGAGCATTTGATGTCACATCTTGCTGCGGAAACTCGAAGCTTGACAGTCCACGAAATGACTTGCCCAGCTTCTGTGCCGGATCAGAGTCTACCTGGCTACTGCTTCAATCCGGTGTTGTCTTCTTGCCTCCCATCCTCGAGGAATCAAAGGATGCTCGGCTGCGCCACGCAAGACCTGCTCAGAGGGTGTGCCGGCTGGGGGACTTGCAGTTGGGAGGGAAGGATCAGGCTCCTAATGAGACGGGCGGTGCTCGAAACGAGGGGGGCAGACATCGAACGTTTAGACCCTCCCGACAGGGGCGGAATGGTTCAACCCCTGCCTGAGCAACCAGTGGGACCTGGATTTTAGATGCGCTCCCACTCCACTGAGTGAGCTTTCGTTCCGTGTTACATCATGTTGTGCTGGAGGAATCGAAGTTCGAACGTTAACAGCTGTGTTTCGAATGAGTGTGACTGAGCAAGTAAATGTGTGCATGTGTGTGAATCGAGGAACGGGCTTGCTGTTGAGTTGATGCTGCATGAATTACGGCCTCCGATAGATATCTCGTTCGTTGGATTTGACGGCGATTGTTCTTCCGCCGACTTGGAAGTCCAAGCTTTTCCGAATCGTTTGCAGGTCGCTGTCATTGGTCACTCTCTGGGCTCGGTCATCATGTTTGACCTTATCCAGAAGGTTCGCCTGGATCGCTGCAAGCCAGCACAGTCTCAAAACGCTGAGAGGGTATGGTAGATATCTACGTACTTGCTGACATTTCTGTATTGGCAATCCGGGGTGCATATGCGGTATGATCCATCAAATCACTCTGCTGCCATTTCGGCTCTGGCTGGATTGTGTCAAATACGAAACGAATAAAAGCTTGAGTTGTTCCCATGAGGGACTTACGCGAAGTAACTCTATAGCCCTGTTTTTTCGCATTCGCTTTTGCCACACGAGGTTTCGTTTCTCCAGCCATCGGCTCGCAACTTCGGTTTGTTCCGGGGCTCCCGTTCCTTTTTGCTTGCTTTCTTCTTTCGCCTATACATTCCTGTCACACCTGCAGGTGCATTCGGCCTGGAGGGTCAGACCCCGTCCGTTCTCCTTGTTGAGTCCTCTATGCCCGCAATGAGAGCACCTTCTGAAACACCTGGTTTGTTCTGGTGCCTTTGTGTTCCTCTGTGTCAGGTCCGTTCTCCGTGCCTGGGATCGATGCCGGTATGTGTTGCGCTGATGTTTGCTCGTTTGCCGTGGAGTGGTCTGAGTTCTGTCGAACTTTGGCTTCAGCATCCTGAGCTTTGGTGCCCCGTTTATCGGCGTGGCATTCTCGGCCGAGTCGCCGAGCAATCCGCTGCAACATAAGGTGGTCGACGTTCAAAGCACCACCGCAAAATAGAATTGTTTTCCGCCTTGCGTCCCTTGCATCAGCGGCACCAATCCTGCGAAGCCTTCATCGTCATGGTTCCTCCTGTTTGTTGTTTTGCGGATCCATGTTCAGGCGCAGACTCAGTTGTCATTGCAGCCGTCCGGGTTGTGGGCAAATGCAGAGTGGACAAATTTTTATATGTTCTTCGGGATCTGCTGGATGGTTTGCTTGTGTCTGCATTTAGCTGTTTGTGGCCATCCGCCCCGTCCGGCCATGATTCCCATCCATTCCTAGTTGGCCAAACCTCCACTGTCTTCGTGTCCTTCCTTTCGACATCGACCCGATCTGTGACGATTTGTTGTGATGCTGGGTTCCGGCGTCCGTTTGCCCAGTGATGAATTTATGCGCCGTGTGCTCCTTAGACTGATGATGATATTTTTCTTCACAACAGTGCTTGTGAATCGACTTCTACTTCGCCCTCCGTCAGTTTGCATACGAGTTGGTTTTTCTTTGATCGTTTCCGTCTCCGTGCTTGGATCTGTCCGAGGCAATGGTGCCAAGCAAGCCTATGAAAATCCATAAACACAGTGTGCAGCAACAACAACGCCGGTTTGGATCACGTCATTGCACGGCCCATCCCTCATTCACCTTGATTCATTCTTGGTCGGTTCATTTTTATTACACATGTTTAAGCGAGCAGCAATCCCGAAAACACGCTTTCGATTCTTTCCACCGTGCATTACTTTCAGCAAATTTGGTGTTCGCGCAAGTCTTTCAATGGAATTTGCTGTACTTCCACGACCGACATGTATCCGAAGAAGTTTTTCCGACCTAGGGGGACCGGCACAAGGTAAGGATGGCCGTCTCAGCCCCCTTAACTGTTTATATGGTGCCGGCCTTAATGGCAGAAGATGTTGATGATTGATTGAGACCTAGCTTCGCAGGGCATCTTTAGCGCATCTTTGCACAGAAGTAAAATTTTCGTGGGGACGTTGTGACGTTCTGGTCACGTGTCCCGTTGCCGCATCGCACGCCCGGCTTGCAGCCTGCGGCTGACTCGGGTTACCCACTCACCACTTTACAGGGAAGCGGCCTCTTTCTCTTTGCCACTCCTTTACTCAAGCAATGCACGGGGATCAAACATCTCCAACCAAGTGTTTGGGTTTTTGATACTATGAGATGAGGGGTGGCATTAACCGCTTTATCGTTTACGGCTTTCCATCCATCATTCTATTTGGGGTTTTTTGATTTTAAAGAAATTTTCCACAGCTTTTTTGAGGGTTGACGGTTTAGCTCCATGCATCATCTCCTTTCGCGATTTCGGGTTTGCCATCCATCTTTTGTTTTTCAGAACCAGCGTTGCCACCCAACATTGTTACGTCCTCAATCTCTGCGACTCCCGTGCAGCCGGAATGTGGCAGGGGCAATTGTGCTTGTGGTGGTGGTGGTAGTAGTAGCAGTAGTAGTAGTAGTAGTAGTAGTAATAGTAGTAGTAGTAGTAGTAGTAGCAGCAGTAGCAGTAGTAGTTGTGGTGGTAGTAGTAGTAGTAGTAGCAGTAGT